CGTCTACGTGCTGTGAGGTATATAGTCGACGCGCCGAAACAAACGCTGACAGCGACAACCTCGAGCGTTTGTGCGAGGAGTGCGGACGATGGCCTCGACCGTGTCGCGCTCGTGGCGTCGTTTCAAGGCATCCGGATAAACAGCTGGACACCATAGCAAGGGCAATACATTTCAAAATGGGCGCCACGACGAGCCGAGAAACGCCGCCGTAGCATTGGGCGCTGCGCGCGCGGCGTCGCGTTCGGAGCGCGCTCATCTTCTCTCATTGCCGAGGCAAGCGTCACTCATCTCGAGCGCCTCGCGCATGACGCCCTGCTGCTTGCACACGGCAGCCAGCACCGAGACCGCTGGCGCGCGGCGACCTCTCGCCGCCGCGAACCTCTCACTATGCGGTGCGTCAGATGCGATCTCTACTCGATTTCAATCGAGCGGAGCTTTCGGCCTCAGCAGCCACTTACAGTGGCCGCGCGCCTATGGTCGTCGTCGTACTTGGCACTTACATTGTTCTCCAAGGCGTCGTCGCTGCGCTCGCTCGCGTTTGGCGCAAGGTAGCACACGTCTTTAGCGCTACTTGGGTCTCACAGATTGATTAGGTTCCGTGTTTGCCCGAGACACACGAGCTCTGGATTTTTGCGCTTTTTCCGCGCCTTCTCGTGGTCGCACCACCCGCTTGTCGGGCACGGCGCGCGCAAGTATGCCATTGTGAGCTATTCCTCGACGCGCCCCAAGGATCGGTTCGTGTCGACCTCGTGTCGTCGCATCGAAGGCGCCCAAAGATGATGAGATTGTGCGCGACCACGTCGACGACCATTTCACGCGGCGCCGGGTCTCACGGATGCGTACAGGCCAAGCCAAGCTTCACACCGCATCGTACCTTGGGCGCGCAGTGTGCTATTGCGACGCTTCTCGCGTTTGGTGGCGACGGCATGGGCGAAGCGCTCCTCTTGAGCAACCTCATTCAGTCGCACGTGGCCACGACGCTCGAGACACCAACAATTACCAACGTTTGAAGCGGCGACACCGACATTGGCTGCGCGCGGACGACGCTCTGTACACCAAGACGTAGAAGGCCGCTTGGAGGCGCAGATGTGTGAAAATCTCGCGCGGAAGTGAGCCGCCGACCCGAGCGCGACAACCAAGAAGGTCGAGAACGACAAGCAAGAGCTCGAGGCGCTTCGGCAGCGCTTGTTGCGCAAGAGCATGCTCGCGGTCACGCCTGCGCCGATCGAGTAC